TATATACACATATAGAGAGAGAGAGAAAGAGAGAAATATATGAGATGTAGTGTGGCTATTAGTTTAAACTAATTAGTTTAAAAGACAAGGGTGGTGGTGGCTAGTTTTTGAACTAGATTAGAAGGGGAAAAAACATAATGAATGGCAATAATAATAATAATAATGAAAACATGTGGTGCAAGGAAATGGGCACTCGTCTATTTAGGAGAGTGCATTGCATGTGGTATGTGCTTGGGTGTGAATACTAAATGCATGTGGTGGATGCATATATATGTGCTAAAGTGGTATAACTAGGAAGTAAAAAGGAAACTGCGAAGAGTAAGTAACCAGGTGTTAGCTAAAAAGGGTGAGGTGTGTGCATGTAAGATGCCTATCGTGTAGGAAGAATAAAAACAAGAGACAATATGAAGAAGTATGATCATCCTTCACAAGAGAAGAAAATCGAGAGAGAGAGAGAGAGTGAGAGAGAGAAAAAAAATAAATAAGGAGGAATCTAGGAGGCTTTGGAAAGGATGAAATCGTGATTTGTGATCCGATCATTATGAGATTCGAGTATTGTTCGTGTTACTCAGAATTTCATATTTGAGCATTGACTTTAAGGTACATGATGGACTGCAATATGTTTTTCCTAAATCTCTTTAGAAAGAGTATTTTCTTGACTATTCTTTGGTTTGTATTCCATATTGTGCTATCATTATTTTAAAATTTCGATTGAATATCGTTGAATATTTTGATTTCATTAATCGTGTTCTACGGAGATTGCTAGCCAAGAGACCCATGGGATCGGGTTGAGGTGGGATGATTGGTGAGGTGTCAGATCTATGTTAAGATCTAGCATGACGTCTGATATGCAAAATGTCACGGGCATTGCATGCTCACCGCTTTATTTAATATTTTCATGTTGAGATCGGAATGAGATAATTAGAGTATTAAAGATGAAAAGATGTCGATATAATTGTTGTTTTATTTGAATTGGGAGATTTATTTATACTGAGAGATTTATTTGTATTGGGAGATGATATTGATAAACTAGTTATTATTTGTGCCTAAAGGCGCAGAGTAATAAAAAATGGTAGACAAAAAATATATTTGTATTCATATCTAAAATTAAATCACAAACATAGAAAAGAGATAATAGAATTTAAGCATCGATTTGTAGAGGGAGTGAGAGGTGGTGGGCGGCAGTAGTGGTGGTAGCAAATGGTGATGGTTGTGGTGGGTGGCAATAACCGTGGTGGCGACAGCAGCGGTATTGGGGGAGGTGATGGGGGTTGTGGTGGTGGCAATAGTGTTGGTGGGCGTGGCGGTGGTGGAGGTGGTGGCAGTGGCAGTGGCGGTGGGGCTGACGGTGGCGGTGGCAGTGGCAGTGGCGATGACAGTGATGGTGACGACGGCGGTGGTGGCCGCGGCAACGACGGTGGTGGCAATGGTGGCAGTAGAGGTAACGGTGGCAATAACAGTGGCAATGGCGGTGGTGGTGGCAGTGGTGGTGGTGGCGGCGACGGCGACGACGATTGTGGCGGTGGTGGTGGTAGCGGTCGTAATGGTGATGGTGGTTGTGATGGTGGAGATAGTGGTTGGACGATTTTAAACACTATTTTTTTTTAAAGTATTTATGAGAAATAATTTCTAAAAGTATTTTTAAAAAGTCACTCTAAATACACTTTTAGGGGCCTATTTTTTCTATTAAATTTAGGGTGTTAATATTAGCCGTTAGATTAACTTTAAAGTAAAATTAAAGCGATCTCAACCACGAATAATAAAAATTATTTTGTTTATCTTTTGATTTTTGAATTATAAGCTACTTTATTATATAGATGTAATTTTGAAAAATCAGGGCATTACAATTGATTCCTTTTGCCTTACTATCGGTATGACACGTAGTATATGACACGTAGCACATAACATGTAATATGCAATTTTCATGATTGCAATGGCCTAAACTCATTCAACCCGCAAGCCCTAGATAATCGTAAATCTAGGTTTTGATACCAAGCTATCACGCCCCAAATTCCTGGTGCCACTTAATCACTAATTAAACAGTGGATTGCCCTTTATGGAAGCTCACTATGACTTCAATCCTCAAAGTAGGCCCAAGTGAGAGCTGTCAACAGAAGCACGCCTTGTACATGAAATATATTCCCACAAAGAGTGAGTCAACGCTCAGTAGGGTATCTCCTATAGAGATCTATGAAATATCATGCAATCATAAGCTTTTCAAGTATTGAATTCACATATATAAATATGAACAATGCTACTAATCCACGCTAACACCGAGCCCTATCTCAGGCTCCCACAACATATATAATGTTATGCATATGAATTCGAGCATTTCAAACCCCTGTCATTGATGTTAAACATACAATGACTATTTAATTAATTCCGTGTCTTTTTGGGACGACGATTTATAGTCTTTCACCAATGGGACACCCCACCGTCAACAAATCTTCAGGACATCCCACCTATGACTCTGTTTTCAATATCACATTTTTATAGGCTCATTACACTAACGGAAAGCACATAACCGACATTGTCGGGGTCTTGTACCCGAAGAAAAATTTAGTTTTTCTTGTTACATCTCGACACATTTATTTATACAATTTCAGTACAACTCAGCAAGAACTAAGTCCAATTTGTCGTAGCCCACCCGTCAACTCACCTAAATAATGATTGACTCAAACCCATGCACACACAATCGCACTCATGTCAATTCTACAAATGTAATGCAACTCATGCATATGTAAAGTAATGTACAATTACAATTCTATTTCATCATAATGTTAATTACATCATAAAAGCATATAATAACATTTCATAAATAACACCAATCATGCTATATATGATCATTATCCAAATAACATACTTTCATTTACCTAAGCATTTATCAAAACACTTAGTGGGCATAAAGTATAAACACATAACATACCTAAATAATTCATTTCATCAAACCAAACATCTTTCTACCAGTAGGTTGTGCTTCTCCCACCGGTAGGTTCACACCCAAACCCAAATCAAGCTAGAAATGATTTTTAATATATTCATACATGATATCACTACCCTAGATACACTAGGTATGAACTAACATGTAAGATTACATCTCTATCGCTCTACCCATTTCATACAATAACCATATGTTGAAAGTAAACCTAGATAGGGGAGAATCTCACCTCTTTTAGCATGAATAAAGAAGAGAAATCCTTAGGAATGTCCAAAATAAGTCTCTACAAGCCCTCCTTAAGCTGTAGCTCTAACCTTTGATTTCCAAATTTGTTAAATATGGGTGAAATTGACATTGACGCATAGCCCTCATCGAGTAGAGGGATTTTTGTTCTTGGTATTTGATAATCTGACGGTTGGATCTTGCAAGATTTTAAGAAAAAGAAGAAGAAATTGGAGCGCTCGCTCTCTCCCTCTCTCTCTCAAATGATTTCATGCCAAGCAAGATTGGGCGTAAGACTTGGTGTATAATGCGCTATGTGTCATTTTTGTCATTGATCCAATTTTGTCCAAACCAATCACATTTTGTCATATGTCATGTTTGATATACTTTTACGGGATTTACTTAAATTTATATTATAGGTTCCACAATTAAAATCTAATCATGCGATATACCCGATCGCATTGTAATATGTGAAAATTCGACTATCTCGAAATTCAATAAAAATAAATTGGCTAAATCGATTTCATGAGAAAAATTCAACGGTGAGATCTATTTTATCATCCAAGTTATATAAAAATTTGAGTTTTTAACTCGTGCTTAGATTGTCTAATTATCGTTTTTACCTTTTTAATTAAAATTTTAATTTACACCTTCACAAGACTCCTTACCTTAGCAAGCCACATAGATTCAAACTGGAATCTTTCTTCTAAGTCTTGGCTCTGTGAAATCTTGACCTTTTAAAGCACGAAAGACAACAAAATAGTGATTTGATTCCAAAGCAGGGCTATGCTGAACATAACTCCTTGGAAAAAATTAATCCAAGAAGAGCCCCAAACTCTGTCTAATCCCTCTTGTATAGAAAATGGAATAACACTGCCATTCCACCAAGTGAAATGATTGCCTTTAAATCCAAGATCCATCAGCTGTCATTCATCGATAAAATCCCTGAAAATTCCTCAATTTCCAGTTCAACCGAGGAACCCCTCCAATCTTCTCCTCATTTGAAATGATTTCATTGAAATATCCACCACAAATCCATGGAATATCTAATCGCCTGCTTAATCGCCGCAAGAATGCTCATGATTACTTGTACTTAGCTGCTTCTAGATGACCATAGAAACCCACAAATCCGTAACAATCATCTTGATTCTCATGCAAAATAGCCTCAATATGAAAATTCAAGTAGCTTTTGACATTAAAAATCCAAATTTCTTCACTATAGCAAGGCCAATTTTCCTGCTCTACCTCTTGAATCAACAATCAAACCATGGGAGAAACCAATTCTCCACTTTATGTATTCGAACTCAAACAAACTAAATCCAGTTTCCATTAAAAAAAACTAGTTGGGGAACTTTTCTCTTCACCAGATCATGGAGAGCCCGAACTGAACAAGGTTTCCCAAGCCCCCGATGGTTCCATGTAACACCAATCATAATGCTTGGCAGAACTACAAGGAAGTCTCCGCTGTAGAAATAGTAGAAAAATCCAAATTGCCTTAATGGGAAGAAATCTTCTCAGGAACTGAACCTACTTCACCTGGGTCAGAAGCATCAATTTCGAGTTCTTTTCGCTTTTACCTAACCAAAACCTCCAGAGTTTCCCAGTTCTCCACCATCAATGAAACAGACGATCTACTTCACCACTCACCCTTCTCTTGTTTCGTAACCTTCTAGGTTTATCGCCTTTCAGAACAGGGATTGATAGTGTGTGAGAATTCTCTTTGGGACAGGATTAAGAGAACTCTGGGCCTGAACTTTAAGAATGGGCCTTTTTTTGGTTTTTGGTCTTCAACTTACTTTTCTTTGGGCCTTCAACTTCAATTGGGTGGCACTTACCCAGATCAAATGAGAACGAGCCATCCGGTTTCAAATCTACTCCCATCAGTTAACTGAGTAACAAGAATAACTTCCACCTTCTCAGCTTCCACGTTAACAGACACGATGGGCATGGGAAAGGACCCTCCAAACGTGGAGATCGTGGTATCCGTAGAATTTTGAACATATGCTTCTTCTTCTTGACGATTAGTATCTCGGACACAAAACTTTGTCGGAATCGGATCAATGGTATGCCGACGTGATATCCTCAGGATTTGATTCATGTCTTCGATGACGTAGAATAAGCTTCGGACATCGTACAGAGGCATTCATCCATGGTCCATACTGATTAGAAAAATTACCTTCACTGGCCCTAATAATACCCCTTGAATCACTTTATTTCAACAAATGTCCTACTCTTCAACAATTGAAGCAAAAAAATGGCAGCCTTTCATATGTAAATCTGGCAAAACACAACTTTCCAACTAGGCCATGCAGTTTAATCCCATAACAATACAAAGGGTGGACTAAATTATATGATTAATCAAATTCATACCAAAATTTTTTAAAATTAATAACCAATAAAATATGTTAAGAAAATATGGATAAAATAGTAAGTTAATTATAGATCACAACTTTCTTGTATTTCTTTGTGTTTTTTACAAGAAAAAAAAGTTGGCTATTTGTGAGAAATTTCAAGTATAAAAAAAAAAAATATTTTTTTCCATCTTTTTTCTTTTCATGCTAACCAAACACATGAAAATTTTAAAAAATTTCTCTTTCTTGCATTTTCTATCATTCTCCCGTTAAACAAACGAACTCTAACAACAAAAAAAAACAAAAACAGATTCATCTCGATAGATGAGAAGAAAATGAAAAGACTCCTTCAGGGAAACCTACGAAGAAAACCTTATACATACCGAAAAGGTAAAAATCGGTACGATACCGAAAAGTTAAAATGAATGTAGGGTCGCCACCTATACACTCTCAAATTTGTCAAAATCCATAACCAGTTTCACCAGTATATATTTTAAAAATAAATAAAACCACTATACACTTTAAAAATAAGTGATAATAAAAATTAAAATTAGTTTTAAAAAATGATAATTATTTATCTTATTTAAACCTAAATAAAAATATAATTAAAAATTTACAATATTTGGGGTTATTGAGTGACATTAAATTTAAGTTAAAAATATTAGGATGTTAGATTAGTTATTGAAGTTCACCACTATTTTAAGTGATAATAAAAATTAATATAAAAAATCATAATTATTTATCATATTTAAACTTGAAATAAAAATATAAGAAAAATTTTACAATATTTAGGGTTATTGAGTGACATTAAATTTACGATTAAATTAAAAATATTAGAGGTTAGGATTAGGTTATTAAGTTCATCAGCCTAAATTACAACTAAAGTTTAGCACATTTGGTACACTTTTGGTGTTAAATTAAAATAGGTAAAAAAATTTGGGGTAATATAAAACTAATTACATAGTTGAGGGTGTAATATGAAAAATATGAGAAATAAATTTAAAAAATGTTATAATTTAGGGGTATAAATGAAATTTATTGGAAAGCTAAAATCTTGATCACTGGTTGAGCGATCCAAATTAGTTCAGGGATCGAGATTGGTTTATAAACTTGATCGCTAGTTAATATCCAATCATTATACAAGCGATCCAGGTTAGATCGCTCATATAGCGATCAACTTCTTGTTTTTCTGCTATTCCCTCAAACCAAAAAATCCAACTCTTCAAAAGCCTAAATCAGCAATCTAACCTAATTGCATACTCTAAATCAAAGATATAACCCCAAATCTAAGCCCAAATTGGTGAAAACCCAACCTGATTGCATACCCAAAATCCTAAATCAGGTGAGGGCTTCAAATTTTGGTGCCCTAATTGTCTCAAAACAGTTTGCATCATGCTTCTCCGTCAGAAAAGAGAGATAAAGGTGTCTGCGGGGGTTCGACTACATAGTTGTCTCTCGTGGTTGTCTAACTTGTGCGTGGGGTGTATACTGTACAGTGATTGTCACAAGAATTCGGCTCCTCTACGGTATTTTTCTTTTCTTTTTTTAGTTTAATTAACAAAAAAACAAGTTTCTTTCATCATATTTTTGTATACATAGTTGTCTTTCTCCCAATTTCATAAAAATTTTTGTACACATAGTTGCATAAGAGATGTGTTTTGGGAGTTGAACGAATTATGGTTTTTGTGAGTGATAGTTCAAAAGTAATATAATTCTATCTTCCTCACATCTCAATCAATTGTTATTGTTGCTCTTTTTTTGACTAAATTTTTTTCTTGTTACAGCAAAGTATAATGACCAAGAAGTATAGGCCAAAAGTTGTGGATACCAGTGAAAAAATGAAGAGAAAGAAAAGTTGTAAGGATCATTCCTCTAGTCCCTCCTTGAAGACGAAATGTAACCATACACCCTTCATTGATCCATCATCCAGAGTTAATCCCATTGTTGATCCCACCTCCACCAATTGTGATCCCTCCTTCAATACATCAAGTTCACCAACCCTATACCCAATACAACAAGTTCATCCAACCCCATATGGAATGAAAATATAATTTTCTTCTTCGTTTGAATTTTTTTTTTTTTTATAAATTTGTAAGGCTTAGTGGGTAGCTGGTAAAAAGTTATAAACTTGATAAACAGTGGAAGTTCTCCGTGAGTTGTGAACCGTTCATTTTATTTTTTCGGTACCATACCGAAAAGTGGGTGTTGGTATCGTAGTTAAACCCATAAAATGGAGACTTAATGAGATGATACTTGACATGGATTTGACAACTAATTTACCAATATTCCGACTCTTAAAATTTTCCAATTATTTAGGTCTCCTACAAAATTTATCTCTTTCCATGTTACCATTCATTATTTCCCCTTGCTATTAAGCTGATCCGCCGTCATCGGCGATTCAATCAGTAACTCAACCAGCACCGAAAGAGAAGAGGAACACTAAGATGATACACATCATCAGCAACAAGATGATTATTGGTAGCGAACCACAAAAAATTATGCAAATATGTCTTTTATGCTTCTGTGCGTGCAGGATCTTGCACAATATAAAAACGAGAACAGATCTCTCCCTTGGTGAACTCGAGTGAGTCAGTTGAGTGGTCAACCACGCTGCTTGGGACAGCCTGTGAGGTCCGGTGGTAACCTGGAACAGTAACGGGAGACCCTCGTGGATTGAAGGAACGATCCAGTAAGGCTGGAGAAAGGTTCCTAGAACAAAGAAGAACAAGTTAGAAGGGCGCCGGAGTGTTTTCCGGCTTATCCCCTCCGACGATCAAGTCAGTTTTTGCAAGGGAGAGGAAGAAGAAAGCGCTGAGTATATTTCGTAGTAAAGAGTTTTTGTTGCATACCGTTTTGCCTTTTATGAGGAGTATTTATACCTCAAAAGCTCATGATTGCTGTCAGTGTTGTCAGTAGATGATCATTAGATACAAGCATTGTGCGCACTAATTCTGATGAGGAATGTCTTCCTTTCTTTAACTGCTCGGGGTGCCGAGCAATCAATGTTGTGCCATCGGGTTGCCGACTGTCTAATGATCTCCGCTCGGGGAGGATGGAATAAATACCCAGCCTTAGAGACATTTATTGCCTTTCAATTCCAAGCCTTACCGCATTGAATGCGGTCTCATCAAGGGAATGGTGTAATTAAATATTTGCTTTCCCAAGTCGCGTGTCAGTAAGGGCATGCGGTCTTTCTGTCTCTGATGTGACACAATTTGCCACGCGTCCATCCCTTATTGGTTGTGGACCCTGCCTTCCTGTTCCTTCTGACACTAATTGTGTAAGACGAGACCATGATAGCTAACCTAAACTAGCCTAGGCTAATGACCTGTACATCAATAGCTTATAATGGAGCAGAGAAAAAGGCATCTTGGACGGGGTACATCTCGGTACCGAGGACATGCACATCTCGGTACCGAGGATAGGTACATATCGAGCCGAGAGAAGTCGTACATGATGACCGAGGTACCATACCAGACCGAGGGATACGTGTCGGTACGTAAAACGTACTCGACACGTGTCAAGTACCTCGGGCGAGGGAGTTGTAAAGCCGATGGTACGTGATCTCAGTTTTTTAGTGACGCCGAGGACACGTGTCTTCATCTTGGAGTATTTTCAGAAAAGTCCCATCAGCTTCGTTTGGTACGATGAAAAAATAGAAAGATAGAAAGTTAGAGTAACACATAAAACATCATATTTGGTAAGAAAAAAAAATTAGGAATGATGAAAAAGTGGATAGATGAACTTTCCTTTCAACTTACCTAAACCAATCCCTCTAAAATTAGGAGGAAACATGGATAAAAAATTAATTATGTGTGTTGAAATATATATTATGTATCTATATATCATTTAATATACACATATATGAAATTAATATATATATATATATATATATATATATATATATATATATATATATATATATATATATATATATATATATATATATATATATTAGTAATTATTCGTGCCTGAAAGCACTATATGACAAATAAAAAAATTACAAATAATTACCCATGCCTAAAGATACATTACAACTTTTAAAATTCACCTATAAATATGGACCTACTATGTAAATATGGACATGTGCATGTGCCTCAAGGCACTATGTAACTAAAAAAATCTTCAATTCAAAAAAGTTAGAATCTATTGGAAAAAAATTGAATCCTCATAAGAGTCAAGTTGTAGACACAATTCACAAATCATAACACAAAAAAAAAAAAAAATTAAATTAAATTGGACTCACCATCACGCCATAATCATAAATAAACACAAATATCTATCAACTACCGTAACAAAACGGATGAAATCCATAAAAATACATGAATAAATTCCAAGTCACAACGCAAATAAAAAACAACATGATCAAATGAATGAATGTGCACCCACATTCACCAACAATTTTAACCTTCTATTACATCTCAATTTTATCACTAATTGAACTAATTCAAGAACAAAAATGAATAACTTAGGAATAAAATCTAACATGAGTGGAGCTGATAAATGAGTTCGGTAAACTTTTTCTATTCTCTTTGTATATCTTACCAAATCCATAAAAAAGCGGGATTAAGCTCTACAAAAAAAAAAAAAAAAAAAACTGAGCATAAACAACAATATGCAACCAAAGAAGTAATAGAAAAAGAAGACAAAAAGAAAGACATAATCAAGGAAGAAATTAAAATGAATAATATACCTTGTCATAATTGTTTTGTGGATTCACTTTTAGCTTCAACATGTTCATCACTTCTGACTGTCAATAGTTTTAACTTTGAACATTCATAAGTAATATTGA